ATAATCATATTATGTACGGCTCATTAAATATCCCCAGGGCCTGCACTCTGCTTCTACGAGACAGACTTTGAGCATTTGAGTAAAAGGTGTAAAGGGAAGATGTAGCTAGCTATAACAAAGAACTTCCTAATAACAAAAGTGGTGACAAAGGAATGAACTGCCTCAGAAGGAGGGAGCTCCCTGTTGTCCGGATGGTGCCTGCAGAGGCCAGAAGAACCTTGTTGGCTGGCTGGGCTCCCTGCAGAGAGGGAATTACATTTTCTGATCACCCAATGTTCTTCCAACCCGAGGGTTTTAGAAGCCTGTGTGACCCAGCTAGGCTCTGTTGGCAAGGTATGCGATGACCAGAGATGCCAGCAGCTCCCACCCGATCTAATCTCCTCAGATTGAAGTTGGGTTTGCATCATCCCCCACTGTTTTTCAAGGGTTTGGCTCTGATGGAAACTTGAAAGAGCCCGAGTTCCCACCTGCTTGGGGCTGACATTCTTCTCTCTAGTCAGTGTTTGTTCTGGCCAGGAGCCACTGCAGAGCTCAGGAGTTGAATTCTGGTACCCGCGCCTTGCTGTGAGCAGTGGGGAGCGGAACCCAGAGGGATGCCAGGGAGGCCCCGGGGCGCGGGGGCTGGGGGTGCCTGAGGTGGGAAACCAGTCCATGAACAATGCTGTGTCTTGCTCAAGCCTTCAGCCTGGGACCACTGGGCTTGGGAGCAGAGATGTGAAAGGGCACATGGGCAGCTCAAAAAATAAAAGGAGGCCCATCCAAGTGCATATAAGATGGGTGATGGAAACACTAAATGGCTTGAAGCAGAGGAATGTTGGGATTTAATTTGTGGGTGAAAAAAATCACTGTACTATTTGGTGAATGGGTGCAGAACCATACAATTTAAAAGTCAAGGCATGGAGCTGGGTGAGAAACGGTGGTGGAGGAGGAGGTAGAGAAAAGTGGTGAGATTAGGGAAGGACTTTGAGGTGCTGCTGACGGGACTGGTGGGTGAACTCTGCATACAGCAGGGACACTGCGCATCAGGTACAGTAAGTGTTGCTTGAACATAAACACTGCGATACCTCCCCAGCCAATCTGATAACCAAGATGGCCACTAAGCAAACAATGTAGGGCATATACAGTGTGGGTACTCAGGACAAAGGGATGATTCATGTCTCAAGAGGGACAGGGCAGGACGGCACGCAATTGCATCATACTACTTAGGATGGGGCACAATTTCTGGAACTTTCCATTGAACATTTCAGACCACAGTTGAATGTCGGTGACTGAATCTACAGAAAGTAAAACTGTGGACAAGGGGGGACTACTATATACAAAGAACTCTTAAAATTAAACAAGAAAATAACCTGATTAAAAAATGGGCAAAGATCTTAACAGGCACTATACCAAAAAAGATACACAAATGGCAAATAAGCATATAAAAGATGCTTCATATCATATGTCACCAGAGAGATGTAAATTAAAACAATGAGATACCACTATATACCTATTAGAATGGTCAAAATACAGAACACTGACAACACCAAATGCCGAGAAGGATGTTGAGCAACAGGAACTCTCATTCATTGCTGGTGGGAATGAAGCCACTTTGGAAGACAATTTGGCAATTTCTTATAAAACTAAACATACTCTCACCATATGATCCAGCAATACCCAGAGGAGTTGAAAACTTACATTTATACATAAACTTGCACACAGATATTTGTTGGGGCATTATTCAAAATTGCTAACACTTGGAAGCAACCAAGATGCCCTTTGTAAGTGAAGGGACAAACAAACTGGTTTATCCAAACAATAGAATAATATTCATCTCTAAAAAGAAATGAGCTATCAAGCCATGAAAAGACGTGAAGGAAAGTGAAGTGCATATTACTAAAAGAAAGAAACCAATATGAAAAGGCTACCGCCTATTGTGTCATACCAACTATATGACATTCTGAAAAAGACAAAACTACAGAGACTGTAACAAGATCAGTGGTTGTGGGGGATGGGGTCGGGGGAGGGGTGAACAGGGGAGCACAGGGGACTTCTAGGGCGGTGAAACTACTTTGTTACTCTAATGGTGAATGCATGTCATTATATATTTGTCAAAACCCACAGAATGTACAAGACCAAGAGTGAACCCTAATGCAAGCTATGGACCTTGGACGATTATGATGTCGGTTTATTGATAGCAATGAATTACCACTTTGGAGGGGGAGGTTGACAATGGGGAGGCTGTGTGTGTGGAGGTAAGGTTTCTGTGGAAAATCTCTGTATCTTCTGCTCTATTTTACTGTGAACCTAAAACTGCTCTAAAAAACAAAGTCTATTAAAAAAGATAGTACAGCCTGAAGCCATACAGCTCCTAGAGGAAAACAGAGGAAAAGCCCCTCGATGTTGATCTTGGCAATGATTTTTTGGATGTGACAACTAAAGCACAAGCAACAAAAGAAAAAAGATAAGTGGGACTCCGTCAAACTAAAAAGCTTCAGCACAGCAACAGAAATGATGAACAAAATGAAAAGGGAACCTATGGAATGGGAAAAATATTGGCATACCACATATCTGATAAGGGGTTAATACCCAAAATACATAAGGAACTAATACCTTAGCAAAAACTCAAATAATCCAATTAAAAAATGGACAAAATACCTGAATACATTTTCCCAAAGAAGATATTCCAATGGCCAACAGGTACATGAAAAGGGGCTCAACATCACTGATCATCAGGGAAATGCAAAACAAAACCACAATGAGATAACACCTCACACCTGTTAGAAAGGCTACCATCAAAAAGCCTAGCGGTAACAAGTCCTGGAGAAAAGGGGACCCTTGTGCACCGTTGGTGGGAGTGCAAATCGGTTCAGCCCCTGGGAAGAGCAGGATGGAAACTCCTCAAAACATTAACAGTGGAACTATGATATGATCCAGAAATCCAACTTCTGGGTATGTGTCCAAAGGAAATGAAATTGCTGACCTGAAGGGGTATCTGCACCCCCATGTTCATTGCATCATTATTTGCAGTAGCCAAGACGTGGAAACCACCTACGTGTCCATCAGTAAATGATTGGAAATGTGATTATACACATGCACACATAGAGGAATGTTATTTGTCCATAAAAAGAAGGCGATCTTACATTTGTGATGACACAATGACCTTTGAGGACATAATGCTAAGTATGATTTTACTTACATGTGGAATCTAAAGCCCGAACTCATGGAAACAACAAAGGAGACTGGTGGTTGCCAGAGGCAGGAGCAGGGGTCAGGGAAGAGGGTGTGGCTGGTCAAAAGGCATAAACTTCCAGTTATAACATAAATAACTGCTGGGGGTGTAATAATAGCATGGTGACTCTAGTTAACAATACTGTATTGTGTATTTGAAAGTTGCTAACATAGTAGACCTTAAAAATGCATGTTAATAAGAAAAAAATATGGCATTTTCAATACATATGTATATCAAATCTTTGTTGTACAACTTAAACAAATACAATGTTCCATGTCAATCATATTGCAGTAAAACTAGAAAATACAGTGCAAAGAAATTTTCCCCAAACTCTTTCAAGTGGCTCACATAATGCCCCATCATCCCAGAACCTTCCATGCGCAATTTGTTAACACGAGGACATTCGTAACCACAGCCACCAGAATCAGCTATATCACTACTTGACATACCACTGCCGTCCAATCCCCAGACCTCATTCAAGTTCCCCTAGTTGTCCCAGTAAAATCCTTAAGAGCAAAAGGACCCAAACTGGGGCCACATATCACATTTAGTGGCCACATCTCCTCAGTGTCTTTCAGTTCCAAACACTTCCTCTGTCTTTCCGTGACTCTCAGGACATTAATGTTTTTGAAGCTCACAGGAGAGGGACTCTGTTCAATGCTCCTAATTTGATGTTATTCTTATGATTGCATCAGGTTCTGAGCCTTTTCTAGAACCACCATGGAAGGACGCTGTGTTCTTTTTCATCCTACCAAGTGGCATTGGATTCTCAGAGTGTCCTCTTACTGAAAACGTCCACTTGGATCATTTGATTAAGGAGGTGTCTGCCAGGCTCCCCCGCTATCAAAGTATTTTCTGCCCCCCTTGTTGATCAATAAGAATGTTGTGGTGAGGTTCTTAAGAAATGTGAAAATATCCCATTTCTTATTAAACATTCACACACTGGTTTTAGCACCTATTGATGATTCCTGGTTGAGCGCTACTATGATGGTGGCCATAGACAGCTGCTCCATATGCTTGTTTGATGACTGAATCTGCATCTCACAGCCCCAAAGGTCAACAGATGTGGCCACACCCCCTCATGCCAAGGAGACACAGAGATAAGCTCATCCTCTTCTCGTGAAGCTCACCACAGGGCAGGGGTTCCCTCTGTAATCCACCTACAGAGGCTCCATCTATACATTCACCCGACTGCTCTATCCCCATCCCTGCCAGCAAACTGATGCCTGTGAAAGATTCTCTCAGTCCTTCAGCAGAGCAAAGCCTGACACTGGGAATGATTAGCATCCTTTTAGGAGTGCAATGGGAAGTCAATGGAGGGTTGTAAGCAGAGGCGTGACACATTTGATTGATGTTAACCGAAAACAAAACTAAACTAAACAAAAATTCTGAATTATGATCCTTCCTCTTTCTTCCCTCAAACAGGATTTGATTTCCCTCTGGGCCTGCACTCCACTAGCTACCCCAGAGGGATTGACCTGATGATGAAATTCATACTAAAGTGTCAATGACTGCGAAGCAAACATCTGGCTGCTGTGTGAACAGCTAGGAGTGGTCCAAGGCTTTCACCAGCGAAAAGACTCAGTGAGAAGATTCTGTTTGCTCCACTTTCAAGAAAGCTTGGACAAGGACTCTGTTGATGTGCACGTGAAGAGGGTAAATGCCAGGGGAAAAAAAGGAAGGGGCTCCCGGCTCCTTAGAGGGCTCTTAGACTGTGGGCTGAAGGAGGGTTCATGCATCCCCCTCCCCCTGCAAACCTCTCTAACTCCTGCCCTGAATGCCCCCATACCTGTGGTTTCCTTAAGCATCTCTTCTGTGAACTTGACCACCTCGACTACCTCCACCCATGGGAAGCCTTTGCCCACAGCAAAGATGACGCTTTCGTAGAGGATATCCAGCAGGATGCTTCTGCGGGAATCTCTCACTTCGTCAAACTTTTCCCAATTCAGCAGCCTCCGCAGGTGCTCCCGACCTTCTGGTTTCTGTGAGGGGTGGAAGGTGACAATGAGGAATCAGGATCACTGGGCAAAACACTCCTGGGGACCTCCCCATGCCTCCCCACTGTCCTGAAGAATGACCAAGAATGTGGGTATGCCTGGCCAGAATGATGCTTTCATTTTTGGGCAGCTTTGCCTCCCCTTTCTGGGTAGGTACTTTCTTTCTAACTCTTCTTTCCAGCACTGCTCATTCCCCTGAGCACCTTCATGCTAGCCACGGCGTCCCTGAGTTTGTAAACCTCCAGAAGGCTTCAAGTCCTCAATTATGGTCCTTCCTTCCACTTCCTTAAAACAAAAGATGACTTCTCTCTGAGCCTACTCTCAACTAGCAGCCCCAGAGGTATTGATCTGATAATGAAATTCATACTAAAGTGTAAATGACTGATAAGAGGCTTGGTGAGGCAAGAAGGAATGTATCTTGCCTGGTGAAAATTCAGGTACTCTATAGACCAGAGAGTAAAGATGGATCAGGGTAGCTTTTCTCCCTATCTATAGGTAAGAACCCACTTTACTTGAGAATTCATCTGGCCCTTCCAGAAAGGTTCTTATAGATCACCAACAGGTATAGAAAAAAACAAGTGCCTTGAAGGGAGTGGGTAAGAAAAGGTGTGGTATGGTGTGAAGACACATGAACGCTGGAGCGCAGCTCCTCTGGGGTGGGCGGAGGCTCTGGCTGGGGGGACTGTGGATGGGGGTGGGGACTGATGGCTGACTTGGTGCCAGAGGGAGGCCCGGAGCCCTGGCTGCAGCCCCCATGGACTCCTTGTCCGCCACCGCCACTCCCCTGCCTGGCCCGCACAGCCCTTTTCTGCAGCCCTCGCAGATTCCCCAGGCTGATGTTTGATGAGACACCAGATTGGAAGATGTAGAGAAGGTAGTGAAAACCATGTCCTAGGGCAGGGACAGAGGACCCACCAGGGGCAGCCTTTGCCTGGCGCTTGCCCATCAGCTCGTACCTGCGGGTCAGAAGCCGACCTGAGCACGCAGCTGGCATGAGACCCCCTTGCCTGTGGTCTGCAGCAGTGCCCTGGCGCCCCTCTGCAGACAGCCCTGTTCTGGAAGGAGCTGGCTGGGTCCTCATCACTTCTTATCATGCCTTTCGGCCTCCACATTGCTTCTGAGGAATCAGTTGGTTCCAAGGAAAACTGTCCCTCCCTGCCCTAGAGCAAGAGAAACCCCACACACCCCCCTCCCCCGCCCCCCAGCTTCTTATACTCTTTGGCGTACAATCCCAGAGGACTCACAGGGCCCTGAGGCTCCCTGGTGAGAGGTGGCAGCCTCGGGCCTTCCTGGAGTGGAGGCAGATCCAGAGCCCACACCCCAATCCCCTCCTCCCCTCCGCCCCTCCAGGGGGATCTGGGCCTCAGGGCCTGTCACTTCAGGCTCTGGAGGCAGCCCCCGGCTCCAAGGGCCGGTGAGCCTGAGGCCGGGCAATCCAGAGCACACACCCCCGTCTCAGGCCTCAGAGGCGGGTGTGCCCGGAAATGGGTGATGTGCCAGGTGTGCGTCCGAAGAGGCTCTGTCGGGGCCTCCTCTCGCACACCCCTCACTGCTAGACCAGTCTGAGCAAAATTCCTTTTAAAAGCCACGTTTTCTCTTCACCTGAAATTGGAAGACTTTTTTCACCCCCTGGGGTGTTAAGAGTGCCATGGCCCCTGCATCCAGTTGCTAGGAGACCCAGTCAGGACTGACTCAGAGTTCCAGGAACCTGGGGGCGAGGCTGCGGCTCTGTGAGGTCATGAAGACCTGCTTCGGGGTGACTTTTTTTCAGGCTCCCTTCCTCCAGGCCCCTCCTCCCCTGTCCCACACCTTTCTGGGGACCCCCGTCCCTTTCTTATGTCCCTTGACTTCCGGGGGTGGGACTTCTCAGGCTTTCCTGCAAACACCCACATCCCCCCATCCAACATATTCTTCTCACTCAAGTCCCATTTCTCTTCTTCCTTCCCCAGTGAAGGATTTGTCTCCATGAAAAGATGGGGCCCCAGTTGCTCTCCTCACGAGGACCTGGCTTCCACCCCACTTCTTCCCTGGCCAATGACACCAGTGAGTCCCTGTTTCCAAGATCCTGACTTTGCTCTGGGTGCAGGAAACAGCTCCGTGGGGCTGTCCCCAAGTGCAGTGCCCAAGCACCCACGTGTCGACTTTCATAGGGCTCTGGTCTCTCCTGGCTGGTTTTGTCCTTCTCTGTCCTGGAAGCCCTGCTGTCCGCTGGTCACCTGAGCAGCAAGTCCTGCTCTCCCCTGACTCAGTGACTATAAGCCCTGACTCTGTGCCCAGGGGCCTCAGCGAGGAAAGGTTGGGGTGCTGGATGGAGTTGGCAGCTGACCGTCTGGCCCCAGGACTGCCTCCTCTGGTGCCTGGCCAGGCCCCCTGACTCTTTGGGTTTGAGGCTGGCCAGGCAGTTCCTGTCCAGGGGTGAAAGTGACCAGGTTACATGTCCTCCCTCAGAAGGGGAAGGAGTAAGAGCTGCTAAGTTTCCAGCATCTGCTACATCAACTGCTCAGAGTGGTCATCCCTGTCAGCCACATGACCACATCGAGGCGTGTTCCATGCCACCTCTCTTACCTCATGGTCATATTATTCATGCTCTTCCTGCCAAGAGGAAGGCTTTGCTTAGGGCCACTTTGTTCCACCCCAGCAGATCCCTAGGAACAAGGGGATGGGGAGAAGGTGACCCTTTCCTCCCATGAGACTCCTGGGCTCCTCACGTAAACTGACCCATTCTTTCTTCAGCAACGTTCATATGTGTTTATCCTCAGGGGAAATAAACATACAAAGTGTGCCCCTTTGCAACACGTGGTTGCTGTGTCATGGGTCCCTTTCCATCCTTGTCGTCCTTGGTGGATGCCTCTGTTGAATACAGGTTTACTTCTTGTTTTCTAATAAGCTCTTCTCTCCCGAGTGATCTGTCCACCCATTCTTTGCCCACTTTCTGAGAAGACTTCTCCTGCTCTGTTCATCCCTTCCACCTTGGTCCACTCCAGGGTTCCTTCTGTACCCTCTTTTCTTTCTAGACCACCTATTCCTTTTAAAAATTCTGACACAGCAAGAACACAACATGAGATCTACCCTCAATACACTTCTAAGTGCACAATACAGTGTTGTTCACAACAGGCACAATGTTGTACACAGATCTCTAGAACTATCCATTTTGCGTCATTGAAACTTCATGTCTTTTGATGAGCAACTCTCCACCCTCCTCCTCCCAGGCTCTGGCACCCACCGTTTCACTCCCTGATTTGATGCGTGTCCGGGTTTTAGATATCTCACATGCGTGGAGTCATGCAGTGTTTGTCCCCTGTGACGGGCTTATTTTGCTTAGCACAATGTCTTCAAGACTCATCCCATGCACCCTTCTTTTTTCTCATTGTTAAGATTTACTTTTTGTATTGGGGTGAAATAGACACAGGGTTTACTTCGTAAACCAGCTGAGTCAGTCGCACTAAGTGCATTAACGTTGTGCAGCTACCACCGCCATGCGTCACCAGAGCTTCCCCACCATCCCCTACTGGCCCCATTCAACATTCCCCATCTCCTTTCAACCACTGTTCTTCTTCCTGCCTCTCTGACTCTGACTACTCCAGGTAGTAATGTAAGTGGAATTACACAGTGTTTTCCCTTTTGCAATTGGCTTCTTTTCTTGGTGGGAGTTTTTATGACAGTTACTGTCCTTTTCTGCCATTGCATATGAGGCATGCTGGGGGCAGACTCCTTGACTTCTAGAGCTCTGGGCCACAAGGGACCACGTCTTAGACATGGCAGAGAGAGAAGCATCACTCAGAGATCCTTTGTGTCCCCTAGTGGAAATGTGAAGTATATGTGAATATGAATACAAAGAAGGGTATTTATGGATGATGGGTGGCTCAAGATGGTGGATCCTGGCATATACTGTTTGTGATCTTTTCAGTATTTATTCTCCCTTAGTCTTACCATAGAACCTCAATTTTCCCAAGGGCAGCAATGTGCACATCTAAGAAACATTTCCATGCTTTTTTTGGCAGATAGGAGTGGTCATGTGACATAGGTCCTGGACAGGTTTTCCAGGCTTTGGAAAATCCATTGACTTTTATCTCTTTCTATCTTCTGATTGGGAATGCAGAGGTGACTGCTGGAGCAGCAGCAGTCATATTGTAAGCATGTGAATGAGAATCCCATCCTGGGGTCCTTGATGATAGCCAAGACCTGCTGCACCAGCCACTGACTACTGACCTCTGCACTGTTTTTGTGATATAAAAGAAAAAAAAATCCACATCTTGTTTAAGATGCTGCTATTTGGGTTTAGAGTTGTGTATAGCTACACTCAATCTCTCAGTGCCAGAGAAACTGCGAATCTGAGGCTCAAGTTGGGTCAAATCAGGTCAGGAGATGGGCCAGGCAGTGAGGAGTTCTTGTTCACAGAAGTAAAGTGATTTGCCAGAACCAGGAAGTGGGGGTGTTTAGGTCGCAAGATATCTCCCCTCGTCACCAATATGCACTGCACGTCCCACTTCCTGTCAGGGCCCTGAGAAAGAGACAGTCAGTCATCTTGGGAGACTTTTCCAGAGCTGGGGGAGGGTGGGAATTCTGCTCATTAAGATAAAAGGAGCCTCATCAAGGACGAATCATGATGAGGAACCGAGGGTCTACCCTATTGTGGACATTGCTCAGAAGATAAATTTAGGCTTTGTCGACGTGCAGCCTGTTAGACAGGTAGGAGCCCTTAGTTTCCCTGGGGAAGGAGCCCTGGAGGTGGGGTGGGAAGATACACAGTCAAGAAAGGTCATTTTTGGGACACAGTAAATCTCGACATGTTTCTAAGCAATCATTCATTCATTCACTCATAAAAATGTTTATTGCGCATTGAAGAATAGCCAGTCTATTAAAAACGTGAGCTACCGAGGCGCCTGTAACATCTCCTATGACGTGGCCCCTGGCTTCCTCTTCCACCCTGCTTCCCAGCACTGCCCCTCACTCCTCCTTTGTGCTCTGCTGGACTTCCTTTGCCTGGGGGCCCACTCTTTCTTGGGGCTTTTGTACCTTTCCTTGCCTCTGTCTTGAAGGCTCTTCTCCCACGTACCTGCTTGGCCAGCTCACTTCACTCAGGCCTTGACTACAAGTCATGTCCCCAGAGACGTTTCCTCCATCCCACCTCTCCTGAGGCAGCATCTTTCTCTCTCTCTCTCTATCCCCTCATTCTGCTTTATTTTCCTTCCCAGCACTTATTACCACCTGACATATGTGTGTTTACTATGTGTTTGTTGCCCCTCACTAGGATGTGTGTCCATGAGGGCGGGATATTTGCTTTGCTCAGTGCAGGGGCCCGGCCCTAGAAGAGCGATGGAGGGAAGCTCGGGCTCCATGTGTATTTACTGATTAAAGGAACCCAGGCCTTGCCCTCAAGATGCGCTCATTCCAGAGGAGGAGAGAACTCTGCATCACAGGTGTGCTGTCCAATGTAATAACAGTGCACGGCGGGAGGGGGCGTTGTGGAAGAAAGAAGGCGCGCCGATCCAGTTTCCTGGAGAAATGTACACAATTTTTCTGCCTGGGGATAATAAAGTGTTGGCTGGAGGTGGGGAAAGAAGTGGCAGGACCCTGGGAGGAGGAGAGATGTGCGACCTGGGGCTCCAGGAAGGGCGCGTGCACCCTGGAGGAAGCTGGCGTCTGAGGGGCAGGCCACCGTGGAAAGTCCTCCGTGGGGGGCAGGGGGCGAGGATCAAAGGCTTGGCGTACGGGAGTGTGTCAGAGTCACTTTAAAACGTCCTTCTCGCTGGGCTGTGGGGGAACCCCGACAGCCCTTCCTCACCCCCAAAGTCGCAGACGTCTGTCACGCACTCAGGTCTGGTTATGGAGAATGTGAGATCAACATGGGACAGAAAGACAGCAACTCAAAAGCCACTCTGTGAAGGATTGGGGATTCAATAGTAATAAATGAGACTTGGGTGCAAAGAGGTAAACGTTTTAGCGCCCCAAATCCCTTCAGAGATATGGGGAGGGGTTCTGAGTTTTCCCCCCTTGTGGAGTGGGGTCGGAGTCTGTTTAACTGTTTCTCTTAGAAGAGAGAGTGAGCCCAGACGGACTTTCACTTTACAGTAACAGGGCACGGACGATGTTGTCGCTGAGTGGGAGGGGATGGGGATGGGGCTTGGGCCCATGGGGTGAGCAGAGATTTGGAAGATCTGCTGTAGAGAGCAGGATGGTGACAGGTGCAAAGATAGCCCTGGACCCCCCAACCCAAACTGTGGCAAACTTAATGCGGTCCAAGCCTTCACCGCACCGAGCGGATGGCTTGGTTCAGGTCCACAGTTTCCCCGAAGGCCTTTCTGGAGAGGAGGCTGTGGCAGGGAGGCCAGAGGCACCAGGAACCAGGAGCGAGCCTGGGAGCCTGGGAGCCTGGGAGGTGGAAGAAGAGACTGGGGACTCAGAATATCAACCCATGAGAGCACTTTTTGTTTATTTAGCATCTCCAGTGCTTAGAACAATAGATGCATAATGAGAATCAGATTAGCATTTGTTAAATTAATGAAAGAAAGAAGTTTCCTGCATGATTGTAACTTTGCAGTTGGTTTCCAGTTTACAACTTTTCACTTTAAAATTGAACCAAGGTCCTCCAAGTCCTGCCCTATTTGCTCTTCTGTTACAACCGAAGACTAAGGCATTGGAGAGTATTG